CATAACAAGGTGCTCATAAAAAGTAATGTTTAGGCTCCATATACGTTTTATTTTAAAGCAGACTACAGCAGGTGTGAAGGCTCTTACATGTATCTAGATTCCACATGCTCTTTTGTTCTAAAGTTTATTTCAAATCTAACAGTCTTATTCAAATTACATGGCTCCTACTGGTCAGGTGATATAGTATCAGGATACTCAATTGGTGGCTGGGACTCTGCCCTCTCCAAGGCCTGATCCCTGAGTCCCACTCAATAGGGGATGGAGGATTTTGCACTCTTGGAGGGCTGATCTTGTTGGGTGTGGTTGGTAGAGGCCAGAGGCTGGAGGGAGAGAGGAGTGTTAGCTCTTTGCAGGCAGCTTGTAAGGAAGCCTGGAACCTGAAAGAAAGTGATTGAACAACACTCACAGATCTTGCCTCAGTCTCCAGAGGACTCCACCTGTTCAGGCACAGATCTTACCTTGACAGCTTTGTTTGCAGACACTCTGTTTGCCAGAAGATGAGGTATTCTCAGAGACAATAAGACCCCTGATCTAGGAGAACAGCCAGGGACCCCAGGGCGCTCCCTACTCCCTCCATGACAGTCCTTGTCTCTCTTCCCAGGGATCCAGTGCATTTGTGATTCATGGTTTTGAGACTTTCTGGTGGGGAATTGCCTTTTTGTGATTACGTAAGCGAACAGTCATGCTCATCTGGGTAAGAGAAGCAGTGCTTTCGGACATTCCTGGAAGAAGAATCTTATCACTTGGCTTGCTTCCTCACTGTCGGCTTGGAACCCAGGATGTAGGTGAGGTAAGTCTGAAGAACTGGAAGCAAGCTCACTTACACATCCCTGGACGTCATTACTCCCACGCAGCGCCCCCTCCCCCTAAGCCTACAGGAGAACCATGTCTGTTGGTAGCTTGGCAAGGTTGTACTGGTGTGTGTGTGTGTGTGTGTGTGTGATGGGTAGTGAACAGTAAGAAACAGTGTGGGGAGCAGATGGATTCCTGAGTGAGTGTGTGTTGTTGACATGATCATGATCAAGGACCCCAATGCCTCAGACCTACGGGAAGGGCAAGGCTTTCCCTTGTCTAAGTAGGGATTTTGATGCTGCACAGAAAGTATCAGCCACGGCTTCCTCCTCCCAGACGACTGCACCCTGAGAATGCTCCTCTACAGAAACCCATACTGAGATTAGCTAGCCTGTGTCCTCCTTAAACTATATACTGTTACGCCTGATTCATGAGACCCCCAAAAGACCACCAGGAGTTGAGTCCGTTGTAAAACACACAAGGATTTTATTCACAGCTCGAGCTGAGACTCTCACACACACCAAGGCACTGGTATCCAGCTGAGAGCCTCGAGCTCCGGATTGAGGCTGATTTAGAGGTCCCAGTTCCTCTGAGCGTGCCCAGAGGAGAGTAGGGGATTCCAGCCTGGCAAGTGTCTATTGGTTAAAATATAAAAAGATTTCATAAACGGTTCTGGTTTCAGTTGGAACATCCTGTCCTGGGCTGATAGGCTGCTGCTAAGGAAGAAAGGCGATTATCTCTGTCAGTGCTATTTCCAAGGGCAAGGCCATCCAGGCTGGTTTCCTGGTGATAGTACCTCTAGTGAGCAGACAGGAATACCTCCCTGCATCTGGTTGGATGTCTAGAAGCAGCAAGGCCAGCTTGGCTGCTTATGTCTTAAACTCTTTAGCTCAGTACCCCCAAAACTCAATTTTTAATATTTTTGGTCTCTCAATACAATAAACTCACAGAGTTTCAGGACGGCTGGTGTGCCTCAGTGAGAGTACAGGGCTCACCTGACCCCAGCTTTTCAGTACATGTCTATCATTTCTTCCTTCCCTGTTGTTGTAGTTAGGTCAATCCCAAAGCCCTGCAGAAAAACTGTGAGGCGAGGTCCATAGCAGACACACTGACTTACCTCTCCACCCCGGGCTTAGGCGTTCGCAGTCACCCACTGCCCGGTCTCTCAGACCTCATATGCTCCCAGATAACACTGGATTTTTTTCCTTCTCAAGCCAGGCGCTTGTTCACTGCAGCCCAGTCCTACAGGATCAGCTATTGCCTGTCCCTAGGGATTGCTTGTTCCAGGATGTCAGATATCAGGTCAAAGTCAGAAGCACCTAGTTTCCCTTTGCAGCATGTGGGCTCTTTTTGGAAGCTGTTAGGAGCTCTGGCGGGGTGATGTGTTACCTTCCAAAGTCACAAACAAATGGACTTCCTACTGGCCCGTATTTTGTGTACTGAGAGGAGTTCAAGGAGCATTCTGACTCTCCCCTCCTCAAATCATCTGAGCCATTTAATGTAGCAGGAAGTAACTTCTTTCTTCCAGGCCAAGGACACCTAGTACAGAGATAGAGAACTTGGATCCATATCAGAAATAAAATTATCTTTTGGAACATCAGTGTAGTCATTGACTCAGATCCAGGAATTGGAACTCAAGTCATTTGCACATTTTAATGCAGAGAATTAAACAAGTGTGTGTTACACAAAACATATTCTCCCTGGCAGAGTCAAATGTTACAAAGCTAAAGCTCCCTTGGCATCCCTCCTTGCTCTGCATTGCTCCCAGGAACTGCCATTTTCAGCCCGGTCAATACCCTTCCAGCTCTGCCTTAGAAGCACATGGGCAGATGTGCTGGGCCTTTCCTTGTGTGTAAATGCTCTTGCTCTGCCTTGTGTGATTTGTCTGGATCTTGCTTCCAGTTGCTTTTGTTAAGCACCTATAGACAATGCATCCATGAGTGTTCTTGAACTTGTTTCTTTGGGAGAACAACAAATAGTGAGTGAAATTCTGAACCACTGGGCATTTAACAAAGCCGGGCACTGCCAATCTTGTCGCTAAAGAGCCACACACATCTATCCGTAATAATAGGTTATGGGGAGATGTCACCACAGGTGACTGCTGGACCTGAAAGGGGCAGAAGGATTGTGTCACTGAACAAAGGAATAGGGTGTTGAGGAGAGCTCCTAAGCACTGGTATTTCAGTGTTTGCTTTTCTGTGGCTGGTCATTTAAGTTGTTTTGTTCTGAAAAACAAACAAAAACAAAAATTTATTGGTATTTCATGCCTGAGAAGGTGATAAATTCACATGATTAAAAAGACTAAACTGTATAGAAGTTATACAGAGGGGGCTTGATTCCAGTGCGTGCTCACATATGTTTTATTTCCTGGATCTTTCTTATATATCCTCTAGAAATTTCAGATTAAACATGAGCAGAATAGGGGGTTTTGCCCTTTCCTCCTATCTCGGTTTTGGAAGTTGGTGTTTCTAGTCTTGCTTTATTTTATTTATTTGTTTGTGTGTTTTTTTGTTTATCTTTATTTATTTATTTATTTTGCAGGTTTTGGAAAGCATTCCATATTGGTGAAGGGAGCCAGGTCTTTTCTCATTCTTTAGTTTTGTCTCTTGCCGCTACTGAGTTAGCTCTAATTTTTGTGAGTGGTCTATGTAAAATGAACAATTCTGATTCTATATCATTTCATATAGATCATATATATTTGTATAGGCTGCATCCTCAGAAGATTGCTGGGGCAAAGTTTGTGATTGTCAGTCATTATCGCATTTCCTTTCGAAGATGTTATTACTTCCATGTATAGTTTAACAGTGGGGTTTCCCTACAATCTCGATAACTTTAACAGGGGGTGTTAAACCTGTGATGTTTGTCAGCCAGACAGGAATACATCAATATCTCAAAGTACTTTTGTACTGACTTTCTTCTTAGGAGTATTGTTGAGTAACCCTTGTTCTGCCTCAGCTCTGATGGCATTCCCCTTCCTGTGATTACCTGGCCTGTTAATAACCCTTCAAGTTTATTGCTGGATATTCAATATATTCCTCCTCTACTGTTGGAAAGGAACTCTTTGTTTGCTCAGAGAATTATCCCTTTACTTGGGGTGAAGTACAATTTTCTTTTTCTGTAATTTGTTTTGTGTTTTAAGTTTGCTTCTAGTTCTTGATTTTCTCTGGGCATCACTCATTCTCATGTCCCTATGGCTTTGTTCGTTTGGGTCCCTATACTTGATGTGCCATTTTTTTCATTTTTCTAACCTGCCCTTGTTCTTTTACATCTGACTCAAATGTCACCCTCCTTGACTTGTCATCTCTTCTGCCAGACCCTCTAGGTTCCTCTTGGCTATTCCTTTTATACTTTATCTTCTCTCTATTTGGTCATGTTGCCTTAATTTTTACATCTGTCTATCTATCCATCCACTCCTTTCCAATCTAACTAGGAACTCTCAGCTTATTCATCTCTGTACTAGGTGCACAAGTGTTTGTTTAGCAGATATTTGTGAACTAAATGACTAGACAAGTCAACCGTTAGGAGCAAATCTTACTCCCTTTACAGTTTTAGCTGATCTTATTTTTTTGGATGAGTCATGTGTAATGAAAATCCCTTTGTGGTGTGCATGTGTGTGTGTGTGTGTGTGTGTGTGTGTGTGCATGTGCCCACACACACACACGTATGTTGGCATGGAAACCAGAGATAAAAATAATCTGTTCCTCAATTATTTTTCACCTTAATTTTTGAGATAGGGTCCTTTATGGATGTGGATGCCCACTAGACTGGCTGGCTATCAGGCCCTAGGGATCTTTCTGTTCCTACATCTTCAGCGTTGGAATTACAGCCATGTACCACTGTGCCAGGTTTTTTTTTTTGTACTGATGCTGGAGAGCTTAGTCAGATCCTCATGCATGCACAGTGAAACACTTCACTGGTTGAGCCATCTTTCCAGCCCTAGAAAGAAAGAAAGAAAGAAAGAAAGAAAGAAAGAAAGAAAGAAAGAAAGAAAGAAAGAAGTTAAGAGGGTGAGTGAGATGGTTTATATTTGTGACCAAGGATGTATCTAGGGTACTTTGCTGTCTTCCACTGTGAGGAATGGGCTTCTTGACCTCCAGTAAGAATTCTCAAGATAAATTCTCATTTATCTTTTTCTTTCTGTGTATACTCTAAGAGAAGTCAATAACCAGGCTGAAAGTTTTTTGTTTTGGTGTAATTTATTTCATCCTCATCAAAACAACGGTTCATTCATAAATATCCTCTTCTGCATAGTATGAGCCTGTTTGTTCTCAGCTTCACCGAAAGAACCCAGTGCAGGCTATGCACTGGTCCAAATTCAATTTATTCCATAAACATGAACACTGGGTTCTTTTGTAGGCATCGCTGTCTCGTGTGCCCCTTGGATTAACTTAAATAGATCAACCAATCAATAAATATATAAATAAATAGATAAGTGGTTGTTCATCAGAGGCCAGGAAGAAAAGACAGGCTTTCTTTGAACAGAATGTTTCTGATGTTTCTGAAAACACAGGACAGGTAAGAGAGACCCGTCTAGGCAGAGGACTAAGAATTCCCCTGGAAACAGAGTTGTCTCCTCGTTGGTGACTAGGGAGCTCCATAACATGACCTGTCCTGTGTTTTCAGAAACATCAGGAGCCTGGTCTTTACTTTAGGAAGAGACGGATTCCAAGGTGAAGTCAACTATATCCTGCCCACTGTTGCTCCCCAGGAAGACAGGTTTATGTTCTGCTTGGGAAGTGCTGATATACCAGTTGGGGAACTGTGCAGACTCGAATTCCACCTTGGATTTGACTTCTATCTTGTTGAAGACAAACCGCTTTTCCATCTTCTTTTTCGGGTATTGTTTGGGGTCCACGCTCTGCAGAAAAACAGAAAGAATTGTTTCGTGTGTGTGATGAAAAGGATAAAGCTACTGCATGTTAGAGAACATGCTAGACATGTTCTCAGGGCTTCTGGAGAGGACATTGGTGCACAGGTTGTAAGACCTGGGGCCACATTCTTTACTGAGTGACCCCATCTTTCTATCTAACCACTGAAGGAGTCCTTTTTTGTTCTGAGTCCTTAAGCCCAAGGGGGAGAATCATATGGGTAGGAATATCTTAAAAAGTGAAAATTATATTAAAGCTTCCAAGAGTACCTAGTTTCTGGGTTATTTATTTATTTTTTTGTCATATTTTTCCCCCTAAAGCCTGGGGTAGAATGGCATCAGCTTGGGAATGAAAGCTTTTGTTAGGAATGCTACAAGTGCTAGGAGTGGACCGATGTTTGCTGGTGAATCCCACCAACTGAACAGTTCTCCAAACTGTCCTCCCTCAGATGAGGGAAAAACTGTAGCCACATTCGACCCTTTCTGCCTTGACACGACACGTTCTGTCGGGGCTGACGAGAGTGGCAGGACACGCTAATGACAGCAAAATGGCTTAATTTCCCATGGGAGTGGGGTTTACATGCATTTAAAAGTAATGCTAAGTTTGTTCTGTATTTATGTAAACTGTCAAGAAGGCCGCCAGCATTTTCTGGAGGGTAGGGCAGGTGGATGTCTGAGAAGTAAATAATGGCAAAGAGTCTTAAGACAACGACAGACAAGGCTTCTCTGGGCCAATTCTCTCACCTCCAGCTGCAGGGTGGGCCTGCCGTCTTTCATCACACAGGACAGGTACAGATTCTTTCCCTTGAGGCCCAAGGCCACCGGTATTTTGTTGCTGCTTGTGTCACCGTGTACAAAGCTCATGGAGAAAACCACTGGAGAAAGAAGAAGAATCGGGCTCAAGGATACAAGCAGGGTAGACTCGTGAAGCAGCCTTGACAGGCAAAACCATACGGTTCTCTGTGGAGAGCCCAGCATGAGCTTCCTTAGGCACAGGAGGGACTAGCTGGCTTCTCATAGGTCAGAGGGCTGGTCCAGGATTCCCCCGATGCTCATAGTAGCAGCAAGGAAGAATGAAAGGGATCTAATGTTTAAGTTTTAAGCAGTAAAGCCATGTGTGCCTATCAGTGCAGCCTGACAGTACAATTTGGCCACTATGAAAACAGGTAAAGCTGTGTTCCTAAAAGGACTCAGGGTCAGTACTTTTTGAGAAATTTGAGCAGTAAGTGGGAAGAACTGCCTTAGCTGTGAAGAGTGGCTTCAAAAAGGAGACACCCATTTTGATCTTAGCCACAGCGGTCTCAATTGGAGACCCCTGGCCACTTTTATAATGTTCAAAGAAATAAGAATTAATTCCTTATAAAGAAATAAGATTCTTTTCCACCTGGACCAGAGCAGACAGCTCTCTTCAAAGCTTCCAAGATCAGAAGCCAAACAGAGGCGCACATGCCACTACTGTTAGCTGTTGCCCATTTAGCCACGGTGGCGTGGTGCCAAGTCCATCCCTACATCTAAAGATGCCCTCACCGCACTTGAAACACTTGCTATTATCGAAGAGAGATAAGTTCCTGATGGTCAGTAAAGCTCCCCACAAGGAACCATGTGGTTTTGGTGGGAAGGATGTTGGGGCAAGGGACAGGGTTGGGAACAGAAATGGACATATCAGTTCCGTACCATCCACATTTCGGCCTCACAGGGAGGGAAAAAGAACCCACAGGCAGCTATGGCATGCCCATCAAGCGACTGCACACTAATGGCCACCAGTCATTGGCAGAACATTGGCAATCCGTTATACCTTGTGACTGGGCTGGAAAATGATCTTTTTGTTGTTGTTATGTTTGCCATAGTCTGCCATCTTAAAACACAGGGACCTAGTAGGCTGCCAGGAGGCCAGGATGGGGAACCAAGGTGTGCCTACTTACCCTGTTCGTGTATATTCTCTCCATTGAGGTGGAGTGCTTTCAGCTCGTGTGGGTCAGACAGCACGAGGCACTTCTGTTGCTCATCCCGGAGCCTGCAGTGCAGCTGTCGGACGGGAAAATCACACACCAACTGCTCATCTTCCCACGAGTCACAGAGGATGGGCTCTGAAAGTCAAAGAACAGATGTTGCTTAGGTAGACAATTAGAAGAGCAGGCCCAGCGAAGCGAAGCAACACCTAAGCATGCCCAGTCAGAGTCTATGCTCATTTTAGTGGGGTATAAAGAGGTTGGGAGTTGGGTGGGCAAGGGTATTGGATCAGGCATCATGAGACAAGCTGCAGTGTTATGACCTTTCACTGTGGACTAGCAACAGTGGTGCCTACAGAAAATGTTGCCAGTAAGAAGAATAGCTCAACAGGGACATTGTGAGACTTGTGAGCTCCAGTGTAAGCCAAAGTCCTTGGAGAAAGAATGGGCTGAGTTGCAAATGTAAGCATCATTAAGGCCTTCTTTTAAGTCAGTCCTCTCAAGGCTTCCTTGCTTTCTTCTGACAGTTGGAATGTCTACCACTCAGGGTCTCGCACTTGAGAAGGGACATTGACGACTAAGAGGTGGACTGGGAGGGTCCAAAATGAAGGCCTGCTGTCTGCCCTCGGCTCTCATCAAGTACCTTCTTCAAAGATGAAGGAAAAGAAGGTTCTCAGGTCCTCATCCTGGAAGGTCCACGGGCAAGAGACAGGCATGCCCCACAGCTTCTCCACAGCCACGATGAGCGATACCACCTGCCGGAAGTTCTTGTTGAAATGCTGCTGGGAGATCTGAAGCTGGATGCTCTCATCTGGACAGCCCAGGTCCAGGTCTTGGAAGCAGCCCTGTTAGAGAAGCCAGGCACTGAGCACATTAAGTCGTCAGACCAGGGTGGTGCTCCTCCTGTAACCCCAGAGAACACCAAGGGCCCTGGAGAGAACTAAGTTCTTAACCATAATCCTTGTGTCTCCGGAGCCCAGAGAATTGAAGTGGCTTACCCAGGGGTACATGGCAATCAGACACAGGCTTCCTGGACTCTTTATACTAAACCCCATTTTCTACTTTATCTTTCTCATACAGAGCTTGCCTCACAGCATAATTACGCCTACTTAAACCTTTCGTCTTTTGGTGTCTTTGCTGCTCCAACACCGCACATTTAATTTCTCATGACAATATGTTCATGTTGTCTCCTCGTCAGCCGAGATTACCCAACACGCTCTCAGTTGTTTTTCCTACACCCCTTTCCTCGCAGGCATTTGGCAGACACTAGAAGCACAGTTTCTGTTTGTGAACTATGTTACCACTTTCCTGTTCTTCAGAGAAACGCATGAAGGCCTAACCGAAGGTGCCTCGAGGCATAATAGTTTCAGAGTTGGAGGACAGTACTGGAAACTTGCAATGATCTAAAGGAAAAGCTGATTGGGAGAGAAGTTTCTGTCCAGAGCAGAGCCTCCCAGTGAGAGCCAGGCTCTTGAGCAGGCTGCAGGGGCCAGATCCTGGCTGAGAAGCTGTGGGGCTCCTCCTAGGGCTGAGCCAATGGTCTTTAAAAAAAAAAAAATACTCATTTAAGCTGAGGACTGGATTTTGCAGCTGGGGGAGGCTGTCATGGACTTGAGAAAAGGTCTGAGAAAAGCACCTGCCTACTGACCCGGGCACATTAGAGCATTATCAGCCATCATGGGAAGAGGCAGGGGCAGCAGGGATGTCAACATGGCTCTTCATGGGAGTGAGTCTGGAAAATGCCCATGTGCTAAGACAGGCTTGGCCAACACTGAAAACATTTCATAACTGAAGGTTGTTGCAGAATGCCAACATCTCAGAGATCTTCTGACTCAGGCCCCATGTTTCTGAGAGGAGAGCCCAAAGGGTCTAGTGGCTTGTCTAAGGTCACACAGGGCAATAAAACATCTGGTCTAAGGTCACAAGTTATTTAAAAAAATCCTAATTGACTCTTTGTTTATATCACCTATTTTTTTTTTTTTTTCTGTCTTAATCTCTTCCCCAGGAACATAAAAACTATTCTATGGTGGAGAAGGGAGCCGAGCTAATTCTGAAGGTCATTGTGTCTGGCATCCAGAGTCTGACGTAAGTGACCCGTCTGAAAGGAGGACTAAATGTGTGGTGAAGACTGTCTTCCTAGCATGAAACACCGTGATCACCACCAGCAAAGTTAATGAGCTTCTGGGAGGGTGAAAGCTGTGCGGGAGCCAGTCAGTGCGTAGGTTGCCTGTGCCTATCTCACTGAAAGAGGCAAACTAATCCCAACACAAAATATCCTGAGAGCAAGGCAGCCCAGTCCCCTTCACCCTACTTAGAGCTTTTCCCATGACACAGCCCCTCCACAGCCTGGAAGCTAAACCCAGGGTCTCACCTTCATCTTTTGGGGTCCGTCAACCTCAAAGAACAGCTCATTCTCATCACTGAAATGAAAACAGACATGCTCGAGTGATGCCTCCTTATTAATACTGCGCACACAAACCTTCACTGTCAATAAACCTACATAGAGTATGGTGCTAAAAGCTTCCTGAAGACTTCTGTCAAGTTCCATAGTGTTATGTAAGCAACAGTCTGGAAGCAGATTCTGGGCCAGGTGAGTGGACACTCTGGGTAGTCTCTGTTGAATTCTGACTTCTAAATTCTAAACTAGCAGACTTAGCTGAAATCTAAGTCTGGCTTCCAAGCCAGACTTTGCAAATGGCTCTCCTGTGCTGTCCATATGGAAGGTTCTCTTTCCATTGCAGCTGTAGGAGTCCCTGCAGGGACAGTACTAGGTCCCCAGGCTGGGCTTGAAGCAGTGAAATCAGCCTTTAAACCAGGTTGACTTGAACCCTGATAGCCACTGAAGGAGGTGTACTGGGGACAAGGTGACTTCTGCACGTAGACCACCCCCATGTGCATTCTCCAGCTCCCCCACTGACCTGTGGAAAGCTGTCATTTCACTGCTGAGTTCAGGAACGGTTGCCATAGCTGCTTCAGACACCTGTGTGAAGAGAGAAAGTGAGTGGACATCCTCAGTGTGAGTTCCCTGAGGGGCTACCTTCATTTCTATTCATCTAAGCTCTAGTTCAGGAGGCATGCAAAAACTGATCTCTAACCAATGAGTAAAGGAATCGAGAAGCTGTTATACAGGCCTAGAACAGTGGTTTTCAGCCAGTGGGTTGAGAATGACCCTTTCACAGGGCTCACCTACGACCATTGAAAAACACAGATTTTTACATTATATTTATAACAGTAGCAAAATTACAGTTATGTAGTAGCAACGAAAATAATCTTATGGTTGGGAAACTGTATTAAAGGGCCGCAGCAGTAGGCAGGTTGAGAACACTGGTCTAGATTAAAGCAACAGCCGAGCTAAACCCCAAACAGAAAACTTTTCTAGGAGACAGTTAACCTTTTAGATATCAGATGATACATAAACACTATTCATTTCCAGAGTATTTCATAAGCCCTAGCCCTAGAGCTACTTTTTTTAAAAAAATAAAAAGCCCATTATCAGGGGGAGGGGAGAAACAGATAGAGATAGAAGATAGATAGATAGATAGATAGATAGATAGATAGATAGATAGATAGACAGACAGACAGACAAGATAGATAGCCTCTTTCTGAGGACTTAGTTGTGAGAGGCAAGTCTTACTTGTACAAGGAAGCCTGGCTGGAGAGAATTCTAGATGAGCCTGTTATGCCTTGAACCACGACAGGATTTGTTGTCCGCCAGCTCTCCCTCCGTTTTATAGCCCTCAAAAGCAGAAGTGAAGAACTGAGAAATTTTCCCTTGGGTTAACCAATTTCACAACCAAGTCGAAGGTGTGCGGAGGGGGAAGAAGACTGATGGGAACTCGGAGGAAGAGGCTGCTGTTCCCCTGAAATAATTTCTAATCCTTGGAAGTGCAAGAGGCAGCAAACCGTGACACATTTGCAAATGTGTCATGGTGGAAACAGGCATTATTTTTCATCTAGATGGTTGTGCAGAGGGTGTCAATATTAAAATGTGGGGCTTTCCTGCGTTAGCTGAGCAGAAGTCAGGATGTGTGGAACAAAGGAGGGCGTGCAGACGCACACCCGCAAATGCGGCGCTTCCCAGCTGGAGTTTGAGAACTATAGGTGGTACCCCACCAATAGTCCTCCTGGTCTGGCTGGAGAGTGCGGAGCCTGCCTGCAGGAGCTGTCCATCAGCTGTGTTAGCAGGGACTTATGGAGACGCATGTGCCCTTCCTTGCGTGGGGCAGGGCACACATGGCGCACAGACATCTGTGTCGGCTTGTTATAGGCTAGGGGAACACTGGAAGCAAGTTTGTGCAACCTGATAGTGCCAGGGTGGTGCCAGGTACCATAGCCAGTCTCATGGTGAAACCACAGCAGTGCGAGGCAGTCCACAAAATGAGCCTGAAGGAAGTTGCATCGTGCAAAGGTGATGAATATGCATATTCTTGAGCATAGTCCATCTTGAAAAATGCAGAGATATTCTTTGCCTAAAAAAAAAACCTTTGGCAAATTCTTGTTTTTGTTTTTGTAAGATCCTGGGGAGATCAAATCCCTTGATAATACCAAGGATGACTAGACTGTTATTTCTTATTTAGCAGCGGAGTGCCTGCCCAGGTCAGCTCTCCTTGCTTGGATTGAATTAACAACCAGGTCATATGGACGGTGCATACCATACCTCGGGCACATCTATGGTACAGCAGTCATTAGAGTCCTCAATGGAAAGCTAACTCATTCTCTAATCCCTCAGAGAGCCTGTGAGCTCTATGAGAGCTGAGTCTAGCACAGTAGGGGCTAGCCTGGGTGAGCAGGAGTTGGACAGTGTATTCATTCAAAGGAGCTTGTACCTAGTATGTTTTGAGCACTGAGCTTACTCTGCAGCACTCACGAGAAATATACAGAAAACTGGAAGCAGGAAGAGAGACCAGACTGCACTGTGGGACAAGGTTTGATCATCAAACAGCCTTTTTTTGGGGGGTGGGGGGGAAGGTGGGGTGGAGTGGGATAATTTAGTCCACAGGATCTCAATTTCAGGAAAGCAAACAGAAGAATCCCATCTTTGATCAACTATGTGTTTGATTTGAACTCTGAAGACAGTTAAGGGCCTCAGTGTCATCTGAGTTTGGTGAGCAATAATCAGTTCTTTCAGCTCTGAGACTTTATAAGATTTTATTATCTGGTCCTGTAGACAGTCCAGAGGTTTTGTGTGGGCCACCTGGTTTATTTGTTTGTTTTGCCTTCACGGGGTCCACATTTCAAACTCACCACTGGTATCCAAGCCTGCCTGGAGGGACTGCCACCTTCCTCAGAGCCCCCGGGGCCGTGATGGAGGGTCCGATGACTTTGTGGGCTGTCGTGACAGAGAATGTTAGAGACATTTTTGGTGGTGCTGATGTGAGCTGAGCAGAGTCAGGGATGGTGAAACCAGGGACAGGAAAGGTTTACGAAGGGCCTGAGGCAGCTCCAAGTCCCTTCTCCTGGGGTGGTCTGTCAGGAACTTTGACCTCAGTCTAGTTGCAGCATCTTCTTCACTATCTTCTAGTTTTAACACTCCTAGATGCCTGAGTCTGAGAGGAGTGATTGTCTGGTAAAATCTGAAGGACCAAATGCATAAAGACAAATTGCCATTTAAATATGAATAAGAGAAGATGAAGAAACCCAGACGAAGAGACAAGAGGTGATTTGTCTAGTGCAATAATCTGGTTGAAGATTCTTTTTCTTCTAGAGGGAAATTTTGGAATTATGGGGCAATGCCTTTAGTACTCTATTATTCAGTCATACTTCATACTTGGCCCTGTAGCTTGGACTCCAAACCTTCTTCCCTTGTTGTATAGAGCAGGCAAGTTGCACAATATGTGTTATCAAACCCTATCCCTCAGGCCACACTTCCTTCTGGTCCCTTTGGTCCCCAATGAGTAGAAAATAACTCACGATAGAAATCGTCATATTGTATTGGGGGTGTGGTGTAGCGATGACAATATTGATGACAATGTAGACCAAGGAAATGAACAAAGCAGAAGAGGAAGTGGGCAATGCTAGGACAGTGATGGGTATTTTAGCTTTTGGGGAATTCTTCAGCTCTTGACTCACTGGGCACTTTTCAACGGTAAGGTTCCCTCTAGCCTGGCCTCTCATGCCTCTAAGATGGGGGCAGGTGTTTCTCCAAAGAAGCAAGTAATCTGTCTCAGTTACTTTTCTATTGCTGTGAAAAGTATGAATGAATATACTACATAGCCCAGTCTGGCCTCAAAGTCATGACAATCCTCCTGCATCTGTCTCCCAAGGACTGAGATTACAGGCATGAGTTATCATGCCATGTCGATGTATGCATTCTACCTTGATGCTTCCTTCTTTGTTTATCCTCCTAAGCAGAACAGAGCTAAGCAATGACTGTCCCCACTGCTTTTTCCAGACCTGGTCTCATTCTTGGTGTCGGAGTCTTAGCACAGTTCTTAGGGGTCCGTTTTTCCCTTTCATCTTTTCTGTACTCGCTAGTCAAACGTGACACAAGGTAGAATCATCAGAGAGGAGGGGGCCTCAAATAAGAAAATGCCTCCATAAAGCCTAGCTGTAGGCAAACCTGTAGGCATTTTATTAACTGGTGATTAATGGAACAGGACCTAGCCCACTATGGGTGGTAATATTCCTGGGCTGGTGGTTCTGGGTTCTATAAGAAAGCAGGCTGAGCAAGCCATAAGGAGCAAGCCAGTAAGCAGCACTCCTCCATGGCCTCTGCATCAGCTCTTGCCTCCAGGTTCCTGCCTTGTTTGAGTTCCTGTCCTGACTTCCTTTGATGATGAACTGTGACGTGGAAATGTAAGCCAAATAAACCTTTTCCTCCCCAACTTTCTTTGATGGAGTTATAGCAATGGTAACCCAACCCAAGACAAATTGGCACTGAGATTTTTGGAGTATTGCTATGACAGACCTGACCATGTTGTTTTGAGAGGACTGTGGAAGGACTTTGGAACGTTGTGCAAGAAAAGCCATTGAGTGTTCAATTCTTGGTGAGCTTTTCTGTAGGAGCTTGGATGATAAGAATGTTGAGCGTAATATAGAAGATAGAGGCCTGGCTTGTCAACTTTTAGAGGGAAGCTTAAAGACTATCAGGGCTGTTTGTTATTGTGAATTAAGATTCTGTGGTTCCGGTCAGCTGGGGATGAAGAGTCAGCTGTGATTAAGAAGATACTATAACTACCAAAATGGAACCTTTGCTTTTCTGATATATTTGATGCTGGTCGGCTGGAGCTGAGAAATCAGCAGTCATCAAGAAGAGGCCTGCTTTGTTGAGGTCAGATCTTTTGAGAAGTGTTTCCTAAGAGCAAAGAAGCTCTGTTTCAGAGGCAGCCAAGGCTGTACCTCGCGCTGATAGTCAGACTTGGAAATGTGTCAGAGTCACCCAGGTGGCACTGGTTTTGAAGGCATGAAGGGGTCCTGAACAGCAGCTGAGGCTTGGCACCATGAAGAGAGGCCAGAGGAGGCTACTGCTGAAAGCACAGCCCAGCTGCAGCAGAAGACCCAGCATTTTGGAGATGGCAGTACCATGGGATGACTATCAGGAACAGCAGCAGCCATAGAGTGGAGCAGGCCAAATCCTGGAAGACAAGCTGTGTGTGTTACAGAAGGCAGAGCCAGAGAATTCACTCAGGCCTCTTGGAGGAGCACGGAAGATCCTGAGTGGATCCCAGACACTGGATGTTGCATTATTTACATTTTGGGGGTTGTTTTTTATTTGATTCGATTGTCTCTCTTGAAATAAAGTATCTAATTTATTTTTGAGAGACTTTGAATTTTAACAGACTTAAGTTTTAAAAGAGATTGGCTCTTTTAAAGAGACTGAGCTTTTAATGTGCTTGAATTTGTAAGGACTATTAGAGCTTTGAGTTATTTATGTTTCATATTGTGATGTCAATAATGATGTACATCTTGAGGATAAATGAGAAAGGAAAGGTTCTAATTAAAGAGTGGTGTGTTGGGGATGGAGGGATGGCTTAGCAGTTTAGAGGACTGGAAGCTCACCCGGAGGTCCTGAGTTCAAATCCCAGGACCCATATGCTGGGTCATAGTGTCTGTAACTGTAGTTCCATGGGATCCAATATGCTCTCCTGGCATGCAGATGTATACACAGACAAAACATCCATATACTTAAAATACATAAATCGTAAAAGAAGTGTATTTGTGTTTCAAATCGACAAGGGGTATGTTCTGCTGGCTAGCTTTATGTCAGCTTGACCCAGCTGGTATCATCTGAGAGGAGGGAGGCTCAATTGAGAAAAGGCCTCCATGAGCCCTGGCTGTAGGCAGGCCTGTAGGGCATTTTCTTAATTGGTGATTAATGGGAGAGGGCCTGACCCACTGTGGGTGGTGCCATCCCTGGGCTGGCAGTCCTGGGTTCTCTAAGAAAGCAGATTGAACAAGCTATGGGGAGCAAGGCAGTAAGCAGCACCCTCCATGGCCTCTGCATCAGCTCCTGCCTCCAGGTTTCTGCCCTGCTTGGCTTCCTGTCCTGACTTCCTTCAGTGACGAACAGTGACGTGAAAGTGGAAGCACTTTCCTCCCCAGGTTACTTTGGTCATCAGAGCATTAGTAACCCTAATTAAGACATTTTCTAGGGTCCTCTCTGGAGTTTATCAGAAATCATCAAGTACGTGTTGCTCTAGCTTCCTTTTTTTATTATTATTATTTTTAAATCGCCAGGGATTTAGAGATTT